CACGTGGCATAATAACCAGGTTTGTGTTATGAAAGTAACAGGGAAGTGCTGAAATCCCTTAAACAATACACGTGGCATTATAACCAGGTTGGTGTTATGAAAGTAACAGGGAAGTGCTGAAATCCCTTAAACAATACACGTGGCATTATAACCAGGTTGATGTTGTGAAAGTAACACGGAAGTGCTGAAATCCCTTAAACAATACACGTGGCATTATAACCAGGTTGGTGTTATGAAAGTAACAGGGAAGTGCTTAAATCCCTTAAACAATACACGTGGCATTATAACCAGACTGGTGTTATGAAAGTAACAGGGAAGTGCTGAAATCCCTTAAACAATACACGTGGCATTATAACCAGGTTGGTGTTATGAAAGTAACAGGGAAGTGCTGAAATCCCTTAAACAATACACGTGGCATTATAACCAGGTTGGTGTTATGAAAGTAACAGGGAAGTGCTGAAATCCCTTAAACAATACACGTGGCATTATAACCAGACTGGTGTTATGAAAGTAACAGGGAAGTGCTTAAATCCCTTAAACAATACACGTGGCATTATAACCAGGTTGGTGTTATGAAAGTAACAGGGAAGTGCTGAAATCCCTTAAACAATACACGTGGCATTATAACCAGGTTGGTGTTATGAAAGTAACAGGGAAGTGCTGAAATCAATTCAACAATACACGTGGCATTATAACCACGTTTGTGTTTTGAAAGTAACACGGAAGTGCTGAAATCCCTTAAACAATACACGTGGCATAATAACCAGGTTGGTGTTATGAAAGTAACAGGGAAGTGCTGAAATCCCTTAAACAATACACGTGGCATTATAACCAGGTTGGTGTTATGAAAGTAACACGGAAGTGCTGAAATCAATTCCACAATACTCGTAGCATTATAATCAGGTTGGTGTTATGAAAGTAACAGGGAAGTGCTGAAATCCCTTAAACAATACACGTGGCATTATAACCAGACTGGTGTTATGAAAGTAACACGGAAGTTCTGAAATCCCTTAAACAATACACGTGGCATTATAACCAGACTGGTGTTATGAAAGTAACAGGGAAGTGCTTAAATTCCTTAAACAATACACGTGGCATTATAACCAGGTTGGTGTTATGAAAGTAACAGGGAAGTGCTGAAATCCCTTAAACAATACACGTGGCATTATAACCAGGTTTGTGTTATGAAAGTAACACGGAAGTGCTGAAATCCCTTAAACAATACACGTGGCATTATAACCAGGTTGGTGTTATGAAAGTAACACGGAAGTGCTGAAATCAATTCCACAATACGCGTAGCATTATCACCAGGTTGTACTTAACCATCGTACACTAATGTCCACGTACTGTGAACATTCCGTTTTCTCATAGTCACCGAAAAATGTTTACGTTTATCGAACTTTAATTGTGTCTGCCTGTCCATTTATATAGAAGTTTAACATAAATCAATTAATAAAGTGTTCTGCAAAGGGCTATCGTTCTGGTGTTTTAAAAACATTGAACTATTCAAAGGACGATACACTGTCCGTCTTGTAAAATGAGTGAGTGAGGTTTTACGCCGATTTTAGCAACATTCTGGAAGTATCACACCAGAAATGGGCTTCATACATTGTACCCATGTTGAGAATCGAACCCGACCGCTTTAACCACTAATATACACCAACCTCTTCCAGAGGTTGGTTATGCCATATTACTGTTATATTACTGTTATATTTCCACAATTTTGCGCTCATTATTGAGTGGTTATCTGATTTGTTAGATCTAAACACCACCCGATCCATCTAGTGGAACCAGCGAACGGTGCACTGTTAAATTCCTACAAATTTTGGTTCTCTATAGAATCGTTATCTTTTATATTAGATCTAAAGAACTAGCCAACCCAATGAAAGTCGCAGTTCATAATAAGCATTTTTATGTTTCTGGAACTTAACATGTCTTGGCAAAACGACGGAATATGGGTCAATCTTCTGATTCTGATGATTTCATTGTCTTATACTCAGTCACTAGCAACCTTCACGTGTCGTAGGCGGGGGATGATTGGTGAGATGGACAGGCTTCAAAACGGACTATCTAAAAAAAAAATTATTTTTTTTGATATATTTTTTTATTGTTCCCAATGTGATGAGTACAAAAACATGATGAGTACAAGCATATAGAGGAATGTGTGCACATACAAGCTAGTGGGCGCAAAAGCGATATAGTACACTAAGTACATTGAATATCAATATCAGTCATATGTTTTTTGTTTAATAGTCATTCAGGGTTAAATTCAGGGATGAGAGGAAACCATTTGGATGAAAAGCTTTGAACATTATGACTATCTGAAACTTGGTTTCCTTTTCAATATCGTATACACCCGTGAAAATCAGGGTTAGAATTGGTCTTCAGCAATAGTAACGCCCTTTCATCATCAACATCGAGTAACACCCTTTCATCTATATCCCAGAGAAACTAACTTATTACCAACTAGGCGTAACACCCTTTCATCATCAACCCCGAGTAACACCCTTTCACAACCAACCTTAAGTGTTTATATGTTTCACCAAATCCGATTGACGGTGTTTCACCTGTCTTGTAGGCCGGAATAAAAATCTGAAACAACATCAGCCATCAATTTCTATGTAACCATATATCATGGACATATAGTGAGTGCTTAAGTGAGTCTAAGTATATAGGTATACTTACCCTGGTACCCGTGAAGATCAGGGTTAGAATTGGTCTTCCGTAACCCACGCCTGCCGTCAAAGGCGACTACAGGAATCGGGTGGTCAGGCTCGCTGACTTGGTTGACATATCATCGTATCCCAATTGCGTAGATCGATGCTCATGATGTTGATCACTGGATTGTATTACTGAAATATTGCTGAGTGCGGCGTTTGACAACACATAAAGCAGATGGGGTTTTAAATGAAGGAAAATTATGAAGAACGTACATTTTCACTCGACTTAAGGTCGTGAGCTTACATAACACACAGAACAGCATTCTCACTACCGTTGATCTGTATGACTGTGCTTTTTTCTGTATGGCATGTTTTTGAATATGTAACATCTCTGCTTTCTTTCCACGGTGACAGGGGCGGTGGGGTAGCCTAGTGGTTAAAGCGTTCGCTCGTCACGCCGAAGGCCCGGGTTCGATTCCCCACATGGGTACAATTTGTGAAGCCTATTTCTGGTGTCCCCCGCCGTGGTATTGCTGGAATATTGCTAACAACGGCGTAAAACCATACTCAGTCAGTCAGTCCACGGTGACACCAAGCAGACACGCTTTGACAGAACTGATAAACTGCTGAATTTGTTAAATCAAACTAAACAAACGAACAAAGGATATCTGTCGTGTTTCGGCAATACAGGCTTAATGTTTGTGACTTGTAAGTCACAATCCAAACACTTTCAAATTCCTGAGGGGTGGTGCGGTGGTCTAGTAGTTAAAGCGTTCTTCGTCACGCGGAAGGGCCAGGTTTGATTCCCACATGGGTACATGAATGAAGCTCATTTCGGGTGTCCCCGCCGTGATATGGCTGGAACATTGCTAAAAGGGCGCAAAACAAACTCCAACGCACTAAGCGTGAACTTTCTGTTTCAGATCACCGAGGTGATGATTAGGCAATTTGAGAATTATGGACGAACGAGGAACAAGTATGGATTAATATGCCCCGAGCAAATGAACAGAGCCTCTAAGAGCAAGGACATTTGTTTGCTGGAGTGAGTGAGTTTAGTTTTACGCCGCACTCAGCAATTTGGTAGCGGTCTGTAAATTATTGAGTCTGGACCAAGTCAATCCAGTGATCAACATCATGAGCATCCATCTACGCGATTGGGTCACGATGACATGTGTCATCCAAGTCAGCGAGCCTGACCACCCGATCCCGTTACGACCCTTACGATCTTACGACAAGCATGGATTACTGAAGATCAGTTCTAACCCGGATCTTCACGGGTCTGCTTCCTGGAGACAATATGTGAAATGCTGGACTTTCTCAATACAAATGTATAAATATATTCGAATCTCGCACAGAACTCAACCCCCTAAAGTACTCATATTTGTAAATACAATTCTGATAAATTGTGAGTGAGTGAGTTTAGTTTTACGCCGCTTTTAACAATATTCCAGCAATATCCCGTCGAGGGACACCAGAAATGGGCTTCACACATTATACCCATATGAGGAATCGAACCCTGGTCTTCGGTGTGACGAGCGAACGCTTCAACCACTAAGCTACCCCACCGCCCCACTAATAAACTGTAAAATTTGACACATGTCACAAAACATATTCTGTGTATGCATTAACTTTCTGATCTTAAGACCTGTCTTTGCTGAACACTGAAAATTGTTTCGGCAGAATGTGTTCTTGCACTTGAGTAATATAAAGATGTTATTTTACTCGAGGGAGATACCGATTCATAATTTCACCACTAAAGACCTACAAATATAAATTACTCTATGTAGATTTACCTTGCTGTTTGGGGAAGTAAGTATTTCGAAAATTGTCTGTTCTTTGCTTTACGCCGCATTCAGCAGTATTGCAACGGCCTGATAATTATAATTTCTATGGAAAAGTATAGCCGTATGTAAAAGGTGAAACTAGCACACTCGTGTTTTAATTACTTTAGAGTAATAATTTAAAAACCATTCAAATCTCCTACTTTAGCAATCAACAAATGAATTTAGTTGATAGCCGCACTACTCCGTCATGCCTGAGAAATACTGTTAAAAGCGTGATCCATTAGCGGTCACGCGGTTCCCCTTGATCTCTGTCTAGTTTCGTAACAGTTCATAGAGAGCGGAGGTATCAATTATTGATGGAGATCAATGATTGTAATAGCAGGGTATTAAATACCTGACCAACCCCGTGCGTGTTTATTAATACATTATTGGAAAAACAGTGTTATGGTGCTGTAGCCTGTGCGTAGGAATATTTCATGGGTTTGGCTCTTCAGAAAGAGATTCATGTAGTCATAGACACCAATAACAGGAACACTGTGGGGTCACCAACCTCACCATGGCATCTAACAAGCTGGGTGTAGTGTCGATATGTATTGTCATCATTGCTGTGACATTCTCTATGGCCCTCAATGGATCGGGAGATAGATCCACAATTTCAAGCAGAGACAATGTAACTAAACCCAACGTGTCAGCCACAGTCCCTGTAACCAGATCCACCATGGCAGTCACAGACCCTGTAACCAGATCCACCATGGCAGTCACAGAACCTGTAACCAGATCCACCATGGCAGTCACAGAACCTGTAACCAGATCCGTCATGGCAGCCACCGCGTCTCTCACAGATGCTCCAGACAGAACATCCACCGTGTCTCCCACAGATGCTCCAGACAGAACATCCACCGTATCTCTCACAGATGCTCCAGACAGAACATCCACCGTGTCTCCCACAGATGCTCCAGACAGAACATCCACCGTATCTCTCACAGATGCTCCAGACAGAACATCCACTGTGTCTCCCACAGATGCTGCAAACAGAACATCCACCGTGTCTCCCACAGATACTCCAGACAGAACATCCACCGTGTCTCCCACAGATGCTCCAGACAGAACATCCACCGTGTCTCCCACAGATTTTCGAGACAGAACATCCACCGTGTTCCCCACAGATGTTCCAGACGGAACATCCACCGTGTCTCCCACAGAAGGTAATCCTACAGCCTTGCTTGTCAGTAATCCCGTACCATTCACTACAGATTATGTAAGGAGAACGTTTCTCCCTGAAACAACCCCCAAAGAATGGTGGGTCAACACACCTTCAACAACTCCACTCTATCAGACCACGGTTGGTGGAAACTCATTGGACAGATTCTTGGGTATACACGACCACCACGGCAACCCTTGTCCCTTTGGCCAAGTCTACTACTACGGGGTAAGTTAACATTTACTTAACTGGTTACTTATGCAGATGCATATTTGTTATGGTATAACTCCCGCGTTGAAATATCACCTGAACTGCAAAGTAGATGTTAAGTTAAGGTTATCATTTGATGTGAAATATAATGTCCCGTGGAACTTCTTGGAGCAAATCACCCTAAATACCAATAGTTGGTATATATACCCCAGTAATTCACTTTCTGAGGGAATGATCAGATGATGTGTGGGATGAGGTTTGGGGTTCTGTATTGATACTACATATAGTTTCAGAAGCAAAGCCAGACATTTTCTTCACAAACAGTGGGTTCCCCTCAAAAAACATCTTGTAAGAATGCATTCTAGAGCCAGGCCACTTTTCTAAAATGTCTGGAGCATACGTTTATATTTTTGTTGATATTTTAGTCTGAAATCTTGTTTCACCGTGTAAATTATATACATTGACTCATGTCATATCGCTGAGTGCGGCGTAAAACTAAACTCATTATCTGTATGTCACTTTATCTGTATGTCTGTACGTTCAGATCGGTGATGTTCTACGGATAAATGTGCATCATATGACGAGAACAACCCCAGCTTTGGTCACTGTTTCAGAGTTGTCACGTGACATGGCAAAACACAACGCCACGACCATTTACTTCAACACAGGAATACATGTCAGCACCTCATACTGCCGGAACAAGCATCCAACCACGTTTTACAACAAAACCCCACGTGGAACCACCTCCTACCACAAGAACATACGTGCAACCACTTACGACAGGTGTTGTGGACGAGGACTTATCACACGAGCCTTCAGCAGTCACAGCATCAACCAACACATCTCCTGACCACGTCCTTAAAACAGCTGATACACAATCAACAACTTCACGGTTGCAGTGTAATCATATCACCCTAAACAACTCAACATTCAACATATATCCCAATGGATCTGTAGTTCTGAAAAGTGGTAGGGTCATAAATGAAAACGATTTTATTCTCACACCAAAAGGACAACTCAAAGTATGCGTGACAGCTCTTGGTTCACAAGGTTCAAACACAAAGTTCAAAATTGATCTTAACCGCCCAACTGTGGTGTTGACGAACATCTGTCTGGTGTCTAGCCAAGTGTTCCTGCTTCTGACTTTCATCTTTCACTGTTTCTTCTCTAGTCTGAGGAATCTTCCTGGAGTGATTCTTATGTTCTTGTCGGCATCTTTGTTCTTGGCACATGCCACCTTCTTCTTTGGGAGTGCCCAGGCGTACAATCGGACTGCTTGTATAGCGATCGGAGTAGTCATCCACTTCTTCTGGCTTGCATCCTTTTGTTGGCTCAACATCTCTTCTTTCCACACCTTCAGAGTCTTTAAGGACGTATTTGCATCTCGGAGTTTTGAATCCAACAAAATGACAATCATCCTCAAATACTGCATCTTTGGCTATGGCACTCCTGCTGTTGTTATTGCTGCAACGATAACAGCAAACTATTTCGTCTCTGGGTCTGAATCCTTTGGTTATGCTGATACCTCAAATTTCTGCTTCGTCTCAAATGGAACCAACAGTATCGTTGGCTTGCTGGTCCCAGCAGGAGTTACCATCCTGGTCAGTTTTACTCTCTTCATCTTGACCGTCGTTTATCTGTGTAGGGCCTCAGCCAACAGACGACAGGTCGGCAATGGTGACAAATGGAACATTTTAATGTACATCAAACTATCTAGTATCACTGGTTTCTCCTGGGTCTTCGGTTTTCTACAAATGGTTGACAGAAGCAGTCAGGTTTTCACATACCTGTTTATTTGTCTGACTGGGGCTCAGGGCGTGTTCATCTTTCTGGCTTTCATGGCAAACAAACGCACTTTCCTTCTCGTTAAACATGTTTGTCGAAAACAAAGCAAGGGTGGCAAATATTCCACAACTTCATCTGACACAAAGCCTGTCCCATCTGATGTGGAGGACGCAAATAAGGTATAGAGACTAACTATATATACTAGGCACAAACATTAAAGGAACCCCTTGACTTTGTGAGGTATGTATAGTTTAATCAGCACAACTGTACGTTACGAATGTTAGATATACTAAATAACGAGTGTGTCCACAATGAGCGCAATACACGCACGACATCTTGCAGGCATGCTGGACACCAACCGCTGAATTGTCGCCCTTGGAATCAAGTGCCACTCTTGCTGTAGTGGTCTGCCTAACACATCAAGATTTGCTGTTGCAGGGTCCCTGAGACGCACGCGACGCCCTTACACACCCCACAGATGTTCGATGGGGGGTAGATCTGGTGATATAGCCGGCCAGTGTAAAGTTGTAACACCTTGTTGTTGCAAGAAGTTCACGGCAACACGAGCTCTGGGAGGACGTGCATTATCTTCTTGAAAAACAAAGTTACCACCTGTCCTTTGTGCCATTGGAAGTACGTATGCCGTAAGATCTCGTCCATATACCGCTGGCCTGTCAAATTACCCAGTACAAGAATCAAATCAGTCCTCCTATTGAAAGAAATTCCTCCCCAGACCATGATAGAGCCGCCTCCATAAGAATCATGTTCCTGTACCGTAGATCTCACATAACGCTCTCCTCGGCGTCGCCATACACGCAATCTTCCATCCGTGGATCGCAAACAAAAGCGGGATTCATCACTAAACATCACATGTCGCCATTGCCGGTTCTCCTACCTCTGACGTTGCTGAGCCCACTGATAACGAAGACGTCTGTGGTTAGCTGTCATCGTCACGCCTTTGAATGAACATCTTGTGGTAAGACCTCTGCTACGGAGCCTCGTACGGTAGAGTTCGAAATCCGTGTTTCTGTGGTTCTGAAGAATTCCATCTTCAAATCCGCGGCTGTGACAAATTGATTCCTCAGAGCTATAGATCTCCGGAAGTTGTCTTGTCTTGGGTTGTTTTTAGGGCGTCTTCCTCGACCGGTCCTCATTTTAGCGCCCCTGTCTGGCGGTAAAGGTTGATGAAACTGGAAATGACGCTTTTGGACTTCCTGAAGAACCCGGCAACACTATTCTGAGATTTTGTACCCTCTATCATGCCAATGGCCTGCCATTTCTGTGTGTTTGTCGGGTACTGTCGAGGTGGAATTTTCACAATAGATTACTGTCATTTGTATATCCTAGAATGCACGTGTGGTGCATGATGCACGTGTATCATGTAAAGGTAACAGGGTGCTGACTGTGGTGTCACCCATAAGCGATTCCCGCTCTGGCTTCGAATGCAATAAGCTTGCAACGTTTATGTAGCATTGTTTCTATTATAAATTCCACTCGGGGGTTCCCTTATTTCTTGTGCCTAGTATATCTAGTTATGTGTCGTCTAACCCAAAACAAGAATAAATTATATCCATGAGATTTACATAGAAACAATGTGAAGTGATAGGCATATGGCCCTATCTATCAGTAAATTATTGAAAAGGACGCCAGCCTAGTATGAAAAAGGAAATGTTTTTTGTTTGTTTTTTTAAAATTATTTTCATTGTTCTCATCAGTACAAGTTTCGAGTATCTGTATAGTTATATGCGAATATACATTGCTGATACAGAAAAATATCTGTATATTGCACATCAAATTTCAGCGGTTGACAATGGTTTATTCTGGATCAGATAATGGGAATAGAGGAAAACATTTTTGAGAATTTATCAAAAACTTTGTTTCTTTTGGACATAAAATTTTCAACAATGAATATGTCTTTAAAATCTTTATAAAGTTTTCTAAGTTGGGAATTTTCAGGGTGAAAATATAGATGTGTGTTTTAGCGGAAAATATTGTATGATAAAGTAGTGGATTAGTACTTAGAGTACCAAACCAAATTTTGTCAATTGCACTTCTTGTATGTTTTGATTAATCCAAATTTGAAGTTCATTCCAAATTGTTTTTGTGGTATAACATTATCAAATAGCAATTAATCATAAAATTTTCTTGAACCTTCAGCTGAAAAAGGAAATGTTGTTCGAAGGGTAGGTACGTGGCAGTAAGCTCGTTTATATTATTGCCAGCTGAAGCTGTTATGGCTTCAGAGTGCGATGTGTTTAAGCTATGGCTTACTTTAAGCACACCCATGGGACACTGAAAAATGGATATCATTGTGTTTCACACTGTACGTCATTGGAGGTGTAACTTTTCAGTTGTTGTAAACGTGTCATCTTGTTTGTCCATTAGACCTTGTGGAAATCGTTGACATTACGGCTATTATAGCGCCATTACACGTCGGTTTTCATACATAAGTTATAGTATTATACAGCGAAACGCTATTTGACGAGAGCAGATCTGTTGTAAATACCGTTAGCATTGTTTGTATAGATCTGCTGGGGATTTATGTCAATATTGCAAATACAGAGGTAACAGTCAGTCACGTAGCCAAACATTTAGAACCGAAATTATTATTTGTGCTCTATATATTACTGTGAAAGGGCCTTTTTGTTATTTGTTTAAATAATACGGATTAATTATTGTACGAAGCTTTGTAAGATGACGAAAATAATGAAAGGTTAAATGCCTCCAATAACTCTACGATGTCTTCAAGCTAATGTTTATTCAGTAATATACCTTCATATCTAGTTGTATTCCAGTAATGACCAGTTATGACCTGTCGGCAGAGGCCATTTAAGCCACAGAAACATTATTTTACCTGGAAGATGCTACCTGGAATATTCAAATTCGTATCAGGCAACAGTGGCGGATCAAAGCAGAAAGTTTAACCTCGGGAAGTTCATTTAATGAATTCTATTTTCAGCTAAATACCTTGGTTTTCAAGACAGCAAATCTCAACTTTTCCAGTATTGTTTCTTGAATTTGCAACTAAAATTCTTGAAATTTTACGCCTATTAATATAATCAAACTTCAAGCATGGCCCGAATCGTTTTTTCTTCCTTAATGTTGTGTACACTGCTCCATAGTCAATTACATATATGACTTGACGTGTCCATTTTAACCAGGCTGGTGTTATAAAGGTAACTTGGAAGTGTGTAATTCCGTTCCACAATACACATCGGCTGGCAATGGCAAGGACGGCATTGTAAATTATAGTCTGTTTGCACTGAAAAAGTACCGATGAATTTCAATTTAAACAATAAAGTAAATCAAATAAAGTGAAATTAAAATTGCGAATCCTCATAATTTTACCTTGCCAAATGGTCATTTAAATTTCTGAATTTTGTTCAACTAAGGCTAAAAGTTGTTTTACAAACGATCATAGTTTCAAATCGCTGTTATGGGTTTGTATTACAAGGGGGATACGAGCAGTAGTTGGAATAGACTAATGCTAAGTCTCTGAATATAGATAAGTTTGATAGTAACAAACAAGCCCATTTAAATTGGAAAGGAGCCACAGGGAGACCAGAGATTCAGAACCTGAGGAAATCTAGACTTGCTATATTTAGGGCTTTAGCACTGCAGAGAGGGCTAGGCAGTATAGGGGAAATAATGTGGTTCAGGGGCTGTGAGACAGACTATAGTTGGAACAGCGAAATAATGCACGTGCGGTCCGTGATGAGCGTTAACTTAGACTACCGTAGAAACCAACCCTTCTTGTTCTCGGGGTTTCATTTAATGTGAATACCCCCTTGTAATAAAAAAACAATAATAGCGATTTGAAACTATGATCGTCACTGCAAACAGACTATAGTTGTACTGATTTATCGTGCAGTAATATCCACGTACTGTGAAACATTCTGTTTTAACGTATTCACTTTAAAACGTTTCACATTTTGGAAACCATATTTTTATCTGCATGTCCAGGACATAACATGATAAATAATAATTAATAAAATGTTGTTAGAAATTGGTTTCTATAATTTCATGTTAATTCTACCAGCTTTGAAATTATTCGTGACACGTTTTAAAACTACCAGAGATTATTTGTGTTTGTTTTGAATATTAAAGTTAATTGTTTTTCATTATGGAGTTATTTTCACTGTTGACGCAAGGACACATTTCAGGAGCAATAGCTTCCAATATTTCAATGTTAATTCTATTACATTTTGAAGTTCTTCATGGCATATCCAAAAAAAACAGGATATTGTTTTATAACCTTTGAAAAGAACGTTTATTCTTCTTCATTTTGGAATTATTTTCAATGTTGACGCAAGGACATATTTGGAGTTAATTTGATGTTTTGATCATATGTGATTTATTATGATATATGTTTCGATCATACATTTATATATTGCGTCGTCACAGTTTAACCGGGTTCGAATTATTTTCTTCATCAGATTACTACATATTACAGTATTTTTTTATGAGAGGGAATTTGATGTTAAAATTGCTAAGGATATTATGAATCGCTGGCGCCTGGTTTATTCCTTGCCACATAGCAGTCAATCTGTCTACTCATTTGTTGTATTTGATTGATGCTTTTAAAATAAAATGTAGAAATGCTATTGAATTGTATCAATTTGTTTCAAGAAATCGATCATATGTGTTCGTTATCAAAGTAAAGTCAAACCTTCTGTAAGGTAAACAATGTTTGTTGACATTTAATTGCCAAGGGTATACAAAGGAAAACATTAGTTTCACAGCCCAAAATACAACAAAGAAATCACGGGTGACATTAACCTCAAAGAATGATGATAACAATGCTAATAACCAACGAAGGGTCATTTGTTTTCATACGATATGCACCCAGTAAAATATCACTTTTGCATGGTGAAATGACATCATGAACAATGTTATGACGTCACGTTCCTTGTTAACGACCTAAATATCAGCATATCCCTTGCCCTGGTTCAGAAAATACCAAGATATAGGCAGTTGTGTCGTAAACATGATAAGACAAGGGCACTCATATTTATCTTCTATAAAGTCGGCTATATTCCAACCACGAGAAATGTCGTCAAATAATGTCTTATAAAAGTTACCAACGTCCCAATAATATCCATAGATTTTAGAATGTATAATAAAAATGCACAACTTCACTACTTGTTTGATAAGTGACAACCAAATTAAAAGATCTTCAGGCTTCATCGCTAGCTTTTCTTAGGGGCTGATGGAAGGTTCGAAAATGTGGGTCATAAATACATGATAGTGTTTATTGTTGTATGTTAAATATACTTCTTAGAACCACCACCCTCTACGTCTTTAAGTATGTTAGATATACCCGTTAGACCTAGCCCTTCTACATGTATGTTAGATATACCTGTTAGAACCACCACCCTCTACGTCTTTAAGTATGTTAGATATACCCGTTAGACCTAGCCCTTCTACATGTATGTTAGATATACTTGTTAGAACCACCACCCTCTACGTCTTTAAGTATGTTAGATATACCAGTTAGACCTAGCCCCTCTACATGTATGTTAGATATACTTGTTAGAACCACCACCCTCTACGTCTTTAAGTATGTTAGATATACCCGTTAGACCTAGCCCTTCTACATGTTTGTTAGATATACCTGTTAGAACCACCACCCTCTACGTCTTAAAGTATGTTAGATATACCCGTGAGACCTAGCCCTTCTACATGTATGTTAGATATACCCGTTAGAACCACCACCCTCTACGTCTTTAAGTATGTTAGATATGCCCGTTAGACCTAGCCCTTCTACATGTATTTGAGATATACCCGTTAGAACCACCACCCTCTACGTCTTTAAGTATGTTAGATATACCCGTTAGAACACCCCACCCAACCACCTCACCACCCCAACACCAGCCCGCCCCCACCCCTCTACATGTATTTAAGATTGTTTGTTTGTTTGTTTAAACATACATAAGTATTTTAGATATACCCGTTAGACCTAGCCCTTCTACATGTATGTTAGATATACCTGTTAGAACCACCACCCTCTACGTCTTTAAGTATGTTAGATATACCTGTTAGACCTAGCCCCTCTACATGTATTTGAGATATACCTGTTAGAACCACCACCCTCTACGTCTTTAAGTATGTAAGATATACCAGTTAGACCTAGCCCCTCTACATGTATGTTAGATATACTTGTTAGAACCACCACCCTCTACGTCTTTAAGTATGTAAGATATACCAGTTAGACCTACCCCATCTACATGTATGTTAGATATACTTGTTAGAACCACCACCCTCTACGTCTTTAAGTATGTTAGATATACCTGTTAGACCTAGCCCCTCTACATGTATTTGAGATATACCTGTTAGAACCACCACCCTCTACGTCTTTAAGTATGTTAGATATACCAGTTAGACCTAGCCCTTCTACATGTATTTGAGATATACCTGTTAGACCTAGCCCTTCTACATGTATGTGAGATATACCTGTTAGACCTAGCCCTTCTACATGTATGTTAGATATACCTGTTAGAACCACCACCCTCTACGTCTTAAAGTATGTTAGATATACCCGTTAGACCTAGCCCTTCTACATGTATGTTAGATATACTTGTTAGACCTAGCCCTTCTACATCTTTAAGTATGTTAGATATACCCGTTAGACCTAGCCCTTCTACATGTATGTTAGATATACCCGTTAGAACCACCACCCTCTACGTCTTTAAGTATGTTAGATATACCAGTTAGACCTAGCCCTTCTACATGTATTTGAGATATACCTGTTAGAACCACCACCCTCTACGTCTTTAAGTATGTTAGATATACCTGTTAGACCTAGCCCTTCTACATGTATTTGAGATATACCTGTTAGAACCACC